TCTCCTTCTCTTCTGGCCGAGCCGAACAGGCGGGCGGGCCGGCCGAGCCGGGGGCGTCCGCCTCCTCGGCCCCCCCTCCTTCCCCCCCCCTCCACCTCCCCCCCCCCACCCCTGCTTCTCCGGCCGAACTGAGAAGGCGCGCGGGGGAGTGTTTTACTAGGAGGGCACGCCACCGCCAGCTCACGAACCGGGCGAAGAACCGCCCCCGCCAGCAGCGGGCGAGCCTAAACGCACAACAAACTCTTTCAGGAAACCCTGGCACGCCCCAGGTTAGCTCTGCGAAGGCCAGGAGGCATTGGAGGCACAGGGGTCCCAGACAGCTCCTAGGGCATGAGCGTGCATGTGCATTGGGATGTGCACGCATGTGCGCCCGCGCGCTTCACCGCATGTGCGTGCATGTGCGGGCCCGCGCGGCCTCCCGAAGAGAGGTTGCACAGGCATGTGCGTGCATGTGCCGATGACAGATCTGCGATTCTCGAACACCTCCCGCATGTGCAGGCATGTGCGCGCATGTGCGTCGGATTGTGCGTGCATGTGCGTATGATGGATACATCAAAACACAGCGCACATGCCCCCGCACATGCCCGGGCACGACGTGCACAGTAGGAAGTCCATCCAAGAAGGGCCGCACAGGCCTGGCACATGACTGGCACATGCCGCGCACATGCGCGCACATGACAGCGCAAAAACGGCCGCACATACACCCACCCAGGGGTATAGATGTGAGTGCGGTGTACGACTACGACTACGACTACGACTACGACTACGACTACGACTACGACTACGACTACGACTACTACTACTACTACTACTACTACTACTACTACTACTACTACTACTACTACTACTACTACTACTACTACTACTACTACTACTACTACTACTACTACTACTACTACTACTACTACTACTACTACTACTACTACTACTACTACTACTACTACTACTACTACTACTACTACTACTACTACTACTACTAACTACTAACTACTAACTACTACTACTACTACTACTACTACTACTACTACTACTACTACTACTACTACTACTACTACTACTACTACTACTACTACTACTACTACTACTACTACTACTACTACTACTACTACTACTACTACTACTACTACTACTACTACTACTACTACTACTACTACTAGTACGCTGACTACTACCTACTACTACTACTACTACTACTACTACTACTACTACTACTAGTAGTACTAGTACTTAAATACTACGCTACTACTGTAAGTACTAGTACTACTCGCACTACTCCTACTACTACTACTACTACTACTACTACTACTACTACTACTACTACTACTACTACTACTACTACTACTACTACTACTATTACTACAACTACCACTTTCTTTATTCGCTTCCTCCTCGGTTAGGATCTGACCGTGCCTGGTGTTTTAGACGGTTGGGATGTGAACCGTCCGGTTGGGATCTCACGCGTCCGGTTGGGATCTGCACCCATCGCGCGAGTTCCCTGACGGGTTTCCACAACGGCTGGGGGAACACGTGGTCGGATAGCTTGGCAGAGCTCTGGCCACAACGTTCGGCCACATGGGCGATTCCAAAAGGCAGAGGGCCGAGAGGCCCACAAGAAGCTCACATCATGCCCCAAGAGTCCACCACCTCCTCCGCCTGTTTTTACTCCTCCTCCTCCTCCTCCTCCTTCTCACCCTCTTCCTTCTCTTCCTCCTCCCCCTCCTCCTCTTCCTCCTCCTCATCATCATCATACTCATCCTCCTCCTACTCTCAAATTGTCCTCCCTCTCCTCCGATTCTTCTTTCTCACCAGCGTTTTCCCTGAAGGGTTTCCACAACGGCTGGGGGAATACATGGTCGGATAGCTTGGCAGAGCTCTGGCCACAACGTTCGGCCACATGGGCGACTCCAAAAGGCAGAGGGCCGAGAGGCCCACAGGAAGCTCACAGACGACCCCAATAGTCCTCCTCCTCCTCCTCCGCCTCCTCTTCCTCCTCCTCCTCCTCCTCCTCCTCCTCCTCCTCCTCCTCCTCCTCCCCCTCCCCCTCCTCCTCCTCTCTAGTGGTCCTCCCTCTCCTCCGCTTCTTCTTCTTCTTTCTCCACAGCGTGTTCCCCGAAGGGTTTCCACAACGGCTGGGGGAACACATGGTCGGATAGCTTGGCAGAGCTCGGGCCACAACATTCGGCCACGTGTGCGATTCCAAAAGCCCGAGAGGCCCACAAGAAGCTCACAGAAGGCCCCGGGAATCCACCTCCTCCTCCTCCTCCTCCTCCTCAACCTCCTCCGCCTCCTCTCTAATTGTCCTCTCTCTCTTCCGCTTCTTCTTCTTGTTCTTCGTTCTCGCCTGCGTGTTCCCCGAAGGGTTTCCACAACGGCTGGGGGAACATTCGGTCGGATAGCTTGGCAGAGCTCTGGCCACAAGGTTCGGCCGCATGGGCGATTCCAAAAGGCAGGGAAGGCAGGGGGCCGAAAGGCCAACAAGAAGCTCACAGAAGGCCCCAGGAGTCCACCTCCTCCTCCTCCTCCTCCTTTCCTCTAATTGTCCTCCCTCTCCTCCGCTTCTCCTTTTATTATTCTTTCTCCCCTGCGTGTTCCCCGAAGGGTTTCCACAACGGCTGGGGGAACACATGGTCGGATAGCTTGGCAGAGCTCTGGCCACAAAGTTCGGCAACATGGGCGATTCCAACAAGCAGGGGGCCGAGAGGCCCAAAATAAACTCACAGAAGGCCGCAGAAGTCTTCCAGCTCCTCCTCTTCCTCCTCCTCCTCCTCCTCCTTCTCCTCTGCCTCCTCCTCCTTCTCTTCATTCTCCTCCTCCCCCTCCTCCCCCTCCTCCTCCTCCTCCTCCTCCTCCTCATCATCACCATCATCCTCCTCCCTAATTGTCCTCCCTCTCCTCCGCTTCTTCTTTCTCCCCTGCGTGTTCCCCGAAGGGTTCCCACAACGGCTGGGAGAACACATGGTTCGATAGCTTGGAAGTGCTCTGACCACAACGTTCGGCCACTTGGGCGATTCCAAGAGGCAGGGGGCCGAGAAGCCCACAGGATGCTCACAGAAGGAACCAGGAGTCCACCTCCTCCTCCTCCTCCTCAACCTCCTCCGCCACCTCTTCCTACTCCTCATCCTCCTCTCTAACTGTCCCCCGTCTCCTCCGCTTCTTCTTCTGTCTCGCCTGCGTGTTCCCCGAAGGGTTTCCACAACGGCTGGGGGAACACATGGTCGGATAGCTTGGCAGAGCTCTGGCCACAACGTATTGCCACGTGGGCGATTCCGAAAGGCAGGGGGCGGCGGTGATTCGCCGTAGGCGTCTTCGATCCTGTACGGCTTCGTTCGGGTTCTTTTCCAGAAAGAACTCCTGGGGCTACGTCGCCTGCCGGGCCACCCAGACATCCCGAATTTCGTCTCCCGTTGCCCAGGTCGCCTCTAAGACGGCCAGGATGGCCCAAGATGGCCTCCAAGACGGCCAAGACGGCCTCAAGTTCGCCCAAGGTGGTCCAAGATGGGCTCCAAGATGGCCCAAGAGTGTCAAAGATGCCTCCAAGTTTTCCCAAGAAGCCTCCAAAACGGCCCAAGATGGCCTCAAGATGACGGGAGACGACCCAAGATGCCGCCGAGAGGCCTCCAAGACGGCACAAGAGGCCCCCAACAAGGCCTGCAGGACGGCTCGAAGAGGCCCCAATCAATGTTTTCCCCCAATGTTGTTGCAGGATGTTGGCATTAGCTTCTTTTCGGTCTTCCGACGGCCCGAGACAGCCCAAGAGCCCCGCAAGATCGCCCCCAGAGCGCCCCAGAGGCCTCCAAGATGACCCCATGACGGCCCAAGAGGCTCCCCAAACGGCCCCAAGAGAGCCCCAAGACGGCCCAAGAGGCCTCCCAGACGCCCATGGTGGCCTCCAAGACTGCCCTGGAGCACCCCCAGAGGTCCCCAAGTCGGTCCAGAGAGGCCCCCAAGACGGCTTCCGACGGCGTCAAGCGGGCCAGGAACGCCCTACGACGGCCAAAGAGCCCCCAGGACGCTCCCAGGAGGCCCACAAGAGTGCCCCCAGAGGCTCCCAAGATGCCCCCCTCCTCCTCCTCCTCCTCCTCCTCCTCCTCCTCCTCCTCCTCCTCCTCATCCTCCTCCTCCTCCTCCTCCTGATCTTCCCCGCCATCCTCCCCCAAGTGTTCCCCGAAGGGTTTCCACAACGGCTGAGGGAACACATGGTCAGATAGCTTGGCAGAGCTCTCGTCACAACGCTCGGCCACATGGGCGACTCCAAAAGGCAGGGGGCGGCGGTGACTCGCCGTTGGCGTCTTCGATAAATCTGTGGAGCTCCGCGCGGATTTCCTGGATCCGCGCCAGACCCCCCTCCCTGGCGCGCTCCGCGCGCCAGGGGGCCGCGCGGGAGGCGCTGCCAGGGAGGCCCCGCGTGGATCCCGAGAAATCCGCGCGGACCGTCGAGAGCTCACCTTCGTGCAATTCTTCTTCGACTGAAGGGGCGAGTGGGCCCTCAGATCCGACGTTGCATTTTTTTATTTATATTTTTTTATTACTTTTTTATAAAGGGGGTCAATCGGGGCTCTCAGGGCCTCTTGAGTTCTGTGTGTAAGTCGGTCGGCGCTTGGGCGAGCAGTACCACGCTCCGACGTTGCAAGAAATTGAAACGTCGCAAAAACTCACGACCGAAATCCCGGACCCCATCTTTCTGCGCCGTTTTTCTGGCCGGATCGATCCGTGAGGGTCCCGCGGCCCGAAAGGGAGCGAAACCGCTGGCTGTGACAAAATTGCAACGCCAGGATCTCAGGGGACAACCGATCTGATGAGCATCGTTTCACCGACACCCATCCCCATGGGCGTGGCCTGGGCCCCACTGGCCGATCTACCCCCGTAGATGGGGATATAGGCTGCTCTCTCCAGGTTTCGAGGGGCATATCTCCAACTGAGGTGGTGAGACGGTGGGGCTCGAGATGTGGATGGAGATGGGGATCGGGATCGGTTAAACGATGCTGATCTGAGGCCCCGGCCCGTAGATCTCGCGCGACAGGCGGTCGAGGGTGGTCCGGAGCTTCTGGGTGTGGATCCGCGACAGCACCTCGGCAGCGCGCGGCGCTCCTATAGGGCAGACCGAGGCTGCTCGGGCGGGCCTCTGCGGCGACGACGGCTACGACGGCGGCGGCGGCGACGACGACGACGACGGCGGCGGCGGCGGTGATGACATCGACGACGCTTGTGAGGATGATTATAAAGAGGGTGAGGTCGACAACGACGACGCCCCCCCCTAATAAGCAATAAAAGAGCCCCTGATCCTTGGGGAGGGGACCTAAGCTGTGGGGGACAGAGGCATAAGGGATAGGGGGTCTTTTTTGCAGATGTCTCAGACGAGACCATCCACGTGTTTAGGGATAGCCCCCAACACCGAGGACCTGACAATGGCCACGAAAGCAATGTGTTATCAGGGTTACGGGTTGCGTGATGCTTAATCATGACCCCGCGCCCTTTCTCCATCCTTCATTGCCCCTTTTGCCCGCCCCCCGCCTCCGCATCCTCCACCTTTCCGAACCCCACATCCAACTTTCTCCCCTTTCTACAGTCGGACCTAGGACAGGAAACCATCCTTCGAGAACACGAGACCCTCTGCCAGATACAATGAAGAGAATTCGAGGGTACCCTCCCCCAGGATGCACGAGAACATCCAACAAGCACGAAGAACATTAGGGTACTCTCCCCGGAACGGCCTCGATCTCGTACCTCGGTCCGACTGTAGCCCACCTCCGTGCTCCTCGCTCATGCTGCGACTCATGCTCCTCCTCGACCTCCTCCCGATCTTAGGGGCCTCAATGGCCGCTGTCCCTCGGCGCCCTCCGCCGACTCCGTCCGCCGAGCGCATTCCCCTCGATCGCCCTGCACCCAGCCGCCCTCCAACAAGCGGCGGCTGTGTCCGCCTCCTCCACCTGTTTTTTCTCCCCAGGGCAACGCTCGTCACTTGGGCCACCACCCCACCCCCTCCCTGGGTAACGCTAACGATTGGTACTGGGGGGGGGCCGCCTCATCAGGATCGTCATCACCAATGATCCCATCGTCATCACAACCATCGCAGGATGTGTCACGCGCACCCGCCGCAGGAAGGATCGACATGAACGAGAGATACGGCAGGCTTGGGGATGACCTTACCGACCAGCCAGAGCCACTGTCTACTAGGAAGCTGGGCGAGGGCTGCTAAAACCGTGGCTGCCAAAACGGCCCTCCCGGAAGGAAAAAACAACTTCCCGGAATGAGGCGCGGCACGCGAAACAGTCAACGGGCTTCTTCCCGAAGGACGAAGACAACTTCCCGGAGGTCGATTTTAGCAGCCAAGGATTTAGCAGCCCTTGCCCGGCTTCCGATCTACGGTCGGGAACTTTTGCTTCGCATATCGCGGCGGCGGCCCCGACGACACGCTGTCCCCTGCGAGCGCATGGCGTGTCGCTCCGCTCCGCGTGCCGGGGGGCTCGGAAAGGCTCGGGACGTTGACGCTGGGCGGCCGGGCAGTGCATGGCGTGTCGCGTCGAAGCGCTTTGGGCCAGAACCGGCGGAGCGACACGCTATCCCAACGTTCCCAGCCGTAGCCCCGCTGGAGCATCTGGAGTACACTGATGAGGTAGGGCAAGACACTGGTGTTTTCGTGTGCGCCCCTGCCAGGTTTCTTAAAATTTCCCTCGCCCCCGAGCCCACGGAGCAACCCAGAGCCCACGGAGCAAGCAAGCAGACGCTGACCAAACCCACGGGTTCCGTGCCTTCAAGACCTCGTGTGGACAGGTGGAGAAGCGCGAGAAGAATGCTGCAACTCTGAGCTGCTTGCTGCACCATAGGGGGTGCAGCAGAGCGGAGCCGAAGCGCCCCTGAAACTCAAAGCAACCATTCCCCATGCATGGCTGGGCTGTCGCTCCTGTATCCTTGCCTGCCCTGTCCATCCCCGATGAGTTCAATCCCCGGCAGAAGGGCTCAATTCCCGGAAGCACATTCAATTCCCGGCAGAAGGCTTCAATCCCTGGCATTCACCCGAATTACATGTCAAGAGACTCTTGAGCTCATAATGCCCAGCGAAAACTCAATGTACCCCCATGAAGTTAAGGAACATTTCTTACCAGGGATTGATCCCTTCTGGTTTTTTTTATATACTGTCATCCTCATAGTACAGGCCCTTCTGGAATTCAATGGTTTTCCTTCCACATGGATCCGACTTGGGCTCATAGCAGGTTCCAAGACGGTCCTATGGGGAGTGCCATCGGCTTCTTCTTTGACTCCATATTCTTTTCTATCGGGTTCCGATTGGGATTATGTTGGCATCCAGTCGCCTCTCTTCCTGTTGGGTTTCTATCCGCATCGGATTGCATGCCAATTGGAATCCGACACTTCCTTGCCATGGGAGTATGACTGGGCTATTTTATGGATCCCTCTTCAAGTTTTTTGCATGAGTCGTATTGTGACCAAGCAGTATATGGGATCCGATGGGATACACTCGGATCCCAAGCGATTGGGTTCCTATTGGGACCCAATTGGTTTCGTAGTTGGACTCGAGTATGACAATAAGATGTGATCCTGTTGGGCTCACCGTTGAAGTTGTCTTTGTGCGACTATTAGCCGCAACGCATTTGTTGCGTGCTGGGCTGATGCCACGAGCACTGCCGAGAGGCACCCCCTAGTCTTGCTTACTTGTTTTGAGCTAGACTCCAGGAGCTGCTGCCTGTGATAATGATACCGAAAGTCGTGGTCCAGCCACACTCGATGGACTCCCGTAGCCAATCGCAAGTTTATGCCTTCTCTCAACACAGCCATGCGGTTTCAGCTCACGCTCATGTGTTTGGCATGAGGTTGAAGTAGTGCGGCTTCGTGCCAGGTTATCAATATATTGAGGATTAAACTTGCAACCACAACGCGCTGGAAACGACTCCTGGTAAGCTGCTACACCCAGAAAACTTGACGAAGGTGTCTTGGTTGATGTGCCGCAAACTGTGCGGTGCAGGCGTTGTGCATATATATATATATATATGTACTAGACCGTCGCGCGCTCTCAGGTTCTCGGGAATCCCAGCGCGCACTCAGATGCCGAGGGCTGGGCGACGGTTGCGGATATGACTTTAGCCCGGATGCGCTGCGGAAATGGGTAGTGAAGAACCCTTCCCTGAGCACGGGGGGCTCCAGGAGGACGACGAAGAGAACGAGGGGGCGGTTTGGAGGGCGAGAAAGGGGAGAAGAGTCCAGGAGCATGACGGCGGCGAGCGAGTGCGAGGGCAGAGCAGAAAGGAGGTGCAGGAGCAGAAGGGGAAGTGGAGTCCGTGGGAACGAACAGTAGGAAAAATACACTAAAACGAAAGGCATTCCTGCCCCTCGTCCACGTGTGCCCCTCCTGGTGGCCTTCTGCTCATCTTGCCACCGAGCCTGGGTTGTTGGTGCGAAACTTCGTGAATGCCTGTTCGCGTCTCTGGGGGAACCTCTGGGCAGCCTGTTGGAAACAATGGTGACGCCTCTTGGGACGCCTTTCGGGGCCTCTTCGGAGCCCCTTGTGGCCCTCTTGGGTCCTCTCGGGTGGGGGGTCCTTGCGGAACTGCTGGCGATCTTCGGGGTCCTCTTAGGGCCGAAGCCTCGAAATATGGATTCGAATTTCCCGAGCCCCTCTTGGGGCCTTCTTGGGCGGTCCTGTGTGCCTCTTGGGCCGTTTTGGGGCCTTTTTGGGCCGTCTGAGGGCCCTCAGGGGAACCCATCCGGCCGTTGGGGGGCTCTCCTATGGGCCTCTGAGCCCGTCTTGGGCGCTGGGCACGTGAAAACAACGATTGCGATAGGAATGTACGCTTTCCCACGGGAGCGGGGCGATTTTGCCTGTTCGGGTCCTCTTGAGGGTCCTCTTGGAGCCGTCTTGGGGCATCCTGGAGGCCTGCTGGCGATCGTCGGGGCCCTCTTAGGGCGGAGGCCTCCGAATGTGGGTTCGAATTCCCCCCGCGGGGCCCCTGTTGGCGCTCTCTTCGGCCACCTTGGGCGGTCCTGGGTGCCTCTTGGGCCGTCTGTTCCCCCCCCCACGACGCAGGTGTCCATGGTGGACTCGCGAAGACCAAACAATCATTCCTGTACGCTGTACAAGGCTGGCCTCCATGGTTTCCTGCCGCAACTAAATGAAAGAGACCAAAGTCAAACATATTATCGACATCGCCATCGTTGAAGTGTACAATGGAATGAAGGGCGAACCCATCTCTCGCTGCGAATGTGTACTGCGTGGATCCCTCTTGGCCTGTCATGGGGAGCTGAGCCCATCTTGGGGCCCTCTTGGGGCCCTCTCCGACCATGTCGGGATCCTCGGGTGGCCCCCTCGGGCCCCCTGGGGACTCTCCTGGGCCGTCTTGAAGCTCTCGTGCTGCGTGAAGCTCTCTTCAGGCCGTCTTGGGGCCCTCTTGGGCGCCTCTTTGGCCGCCTGGGGCCGATTTAGGAAGCCTTTAAGGCCGTCGTGGCCGCTTAGGATTGAAAAAGCGAACATCCAAGGTAAATGCATTTTTCCATCGGGAATGGTTGATCTCTGCCCCTGGGGGACCCGTCTCGGCGGCCTCTTGGACCGTTTTGGGGGAATCCTTTTGGGCCTGTTTTGGCCCGTCTGGGGGCCCATTTCGGCCGTCCTGTCATGGGGAGCTGAGCCCGTCTTGGGGCCTTCGTGGGGCCCTCTCCGGCAATATATAAGGATCCTCTGGTGCCCCTGGGGGCTCTTGGGGCCATCTTGGACCGTCTGGGGCAGGTGTTGGTAGCCTTTGGGGCCGTCGTGGCCGCTGTTAGGACTGACGAAACATATTCGCAGGAAAATGAATTGTTCCATCGGGAATGCTTGATTTCTGCCCTTGGGGGGCCTTCTCGGCGGCCTCCTGGACCGCTTGAGGGCCTTTGTGGCCGTCTAGGAGCGGTCTTGGGCTGTCTTCGAGCGCTCGTGGGCCGCCTTGAGGCCATTTCAGTGCGCTCTTCAGCCATCTTCCAGACAACCTGGGGCGCTTTGGGAGCCTCTTGGGCCAGCTTGGGTGTCTCTGGGGGGGTCCTGGGCCCCTTCTGGGAACTCTTGGAGCCCTCAAGGGACCCCTG